GTCTCGCGCGTATCCAAATATCGGCTGTGTGCTTCGTAAGCGGTGAAATCCGAGCAGCCGATGGCCCGTGCAGAAGGTCGGAATGTCTTTCGTGTACACGGCGAAATGTATCGGCGATATCTGTTCCGCGGTATACGCCCATTACCGCGGGTTAGCGAGTCCCGACCATATGGCGCGCCGACTCGCCAACGGCAGACTGTTTGCGCAGAATAACGCGCGTTAATCGCTAATTACACAGCGTCTTAATTATCGGCTCGTTGGGTGGATGCGTTGACGTGCGATGACTCTATCTATGAACACCAAGGCCTCGATCGCGAACTGCTATTGTCACAGGACAGTGCGTTGATAGGAAACGTTAAAAATATTTTGTCAATCATGTTTCTGATTTTAGATTCGATTTTCTGCACACACACACATTAATTACATATTATGTAATTGTTGAATAAAATATATTTTTAATAGATTTACACTTTCTTCATTTTTCTATTAAATCTATTACATACGTATCGATACTTCATTAATAGTTTTATTGAATCGATACTTCGGGGTGAAAGTATCCATATCTGTTTACAGATAGTCATTCCTGATCAGAACAATTGCAAGCTATCGAAGCTGGGATTGTAAACACGATTGCAGATTGGATAGACGAATGCGGCGCCAACGTAACGCTGACGCAACATGTAAAAGGGGAATAAACGAGGTAGATGTTTCTCGCGCAAAACCCAACATCGTATCATCTTGAATTTATCAGGACATCGACAGGTCCTTTTTATGCAGAAGGATTGGGATTTTGTATGAGTATCAGTATTTACAGCACATCGATGTTCCTGAATGATATTTATTGTTACACAAGACAAAAGAGCATGATCTCGCGACGAAATAACGAATTAAAATTTTATATCTCGCTTTTAAATGATTTTGCACTTGCTGTTCTATGTCATAAAATATAATTAATATTCGCAATTAAATCGCTGTTAAATAGCGACTACCCTTTTTTCGGCTGGAACGGGAACCGAAAGGAATTCAGACGATGCTGGAAGGCCGAAACTGGGGAAGGCGAGGAGCCCCCGGCTCTCAGGGTGGGGCGATGTGGGACGAAAATAAAAACCAAAATAAACGAAATCGAAAAGGACGGGAACGTGGAAAGGGACAGAGGAAGGGGCTCGCAAAATCGCCGTGGCCGAGGGGCCCCGAGGTGGACGACGCGCAAGGCAATAAATATCGTGCGATTAGATCTCCGATGCCGCCGCTGTTGGGGTTGGTTACGAACGGAGGGAGCGACTATTAATCACTCCATGTTAATCAAGCCGGCCGCTAAGTAGGCCGCGCCGCGGCATTAAAGTGCACTGCCACGCATCGTATTGGCGTGCCAACGAAGCGCACATACATACGCGCACAGATCAAGCGCGGTACATAGGCCAGAGGATATGTACGGGGTAGAGGTAGGAGAGAGGCCGGGGAGAGAAAGAGAGAGGCTAGACACAGGACCTCGTGTGTGGTTAGCCTTTAGCCTCCTATTATTCGACTTCGAAGGTCCCTACTCTAAAAAGATCTATACCTACCGCAGAGCACGCGCGCGTTCCTCATTTTTGAGGAATTAATCGGGACTAATTGCCACTTCGGACGGGAGGGAGCTCGCTGCCGCTCCCTTCGCCAGTGAATTATGGTGTTTAGTCTTTGCAAAAAAAATAGGCAAATTAAAAGGGATTCGTAGGAAATCATTTCTACGAAATTATGAATCACTGCTCTTCAAAAATCGGATTGATTTACAAATTTTTGCATTTCTTTCCTTCTGCGTACTTGTAAATTTAAATAAATATAAGTTTTTTATTTTATTATTATTTATGCGAATGCAAATGTTTTACTGCATATTAATGCTAATCAGATGTGTATATTAATTATACCGCGAGAATATCTGATAGATCGCACCTCGAAAAATGTAAAACTGATCAAAAGAGGAAACTGAACACGAGGGAAGAGAAACAGTAGAATAACGTGAGGTCTTTATGGACTTGTTTGTCCTGCAGGTTTTTACAAATTATTTGAAAAGTTCCATTGGGACGTGCACCCGAAACATCGTTCCGAACGATCACACGGTAGTTAGATCGTGCAATCTTCTCGTTCGCAATAGTCGTGCATCGATTACGGTAGTAACAGAAATCAATATCTCTAATCTGGTCTCATCGGTTTAACACTTATTAGACGATCGTAGCAGACAATCATCCAATAAAATCGCAATCGCTCGTTACACATACGTATTTTTTCTATAACTTGCTCCACATACTATTCCCCTCAAACTGTTCGATCTTGTCTAATTCTTCCAACCAAATCTCGTTACACGATTCTCTTTTTCTGCTTGAAATATAATTTATACAAATACCAATTTGTTTTCTGTTTAAACATTGCGCTTTTGCTGTCCGCTTTCGATCCGATCGACCGGCGCGGACTGAGACAAGGCGGGTAGTCGCGCGTGCAACGACGATGCATGAGAGGAGAAAAAGAGCGAGAGGTGGACGACGTGGTACAAAAGTAAATAAAGTCTCTCAAAAGACTGAGAAAATATGTCGATAAATCTAATGTCTAACTGAGATAGGTAGCGGACCCGGGGAAACAGTTGTCTCGCGCGCGCTGCTGCGCCGTACGATCGCGGTGGACGATTGTTTCTCGTGACACCGGTAGCCCGCACCAGAAGTTACTTTCGGATTGTCTCCCGTGAGCCGGGACCGTGGCGAGAAGGGCGACGATCTTTCCACCTCTGAGAAAGTTTTCGAATTCCTTCTATCCACGACGACCTCTTTTCGTCGTCGTCCGTCGTCGTCGTTTCTCTCTCTCTCTCTCTTCCTCCTTGTTACTTCCCCGACATCCTTTACGTTCGAAGCGTGCCTGCACCACGGATATAACTCAGACCGAGATATTGATTTGACTATGATGAAAGCAGATAATTCACGAGCTGTGTATTTTATTATTCTTAGTGTGAGTAAACAGTACGAGAAGGAAAGGGAAGCATAATTTACGATGAAGTAATCATCGTGGCGATCAGTTTTAATTTTTAATTGGCATAGTTTAGATTTAAATCTATATTATCAGCTTCATAATTTTTCTGTCATTTGTATAGACGTATTAAAAATATTAAACTCATTTTCATTTTTTGTACTGCGTGACATTCAAGTATGTCATATATGTATTTTAGATCTGAATTTATTAATTTCTCTAATTGATTGGATATATTATGTAAAAATAATATTTTAATGTATTCGAAATTTAATATAACGCATTTTATTGATTTGCTACCGATATTTGGCAAAGCACCAAAATTGATCCGATCATTGCAAGTAGACCAATGTGCATCTACCAAGCGAGAGGAAGGCAGCGCGCAAGAAAACACACACGAGCGCAATGTAATTTATACTTTTCCTATCACCAAGTCTCATTTTTTTAAGACCGCTTCACCGCCGGGTAACAGCCCCCGAGGCTCAAGGCGTTACTCGCGTGTGACGCGTGCAATTTCTCGTGGAATTATTCCACGTACGCCAACGGCAGTTCGTGATATACGGTCAGGCACGCGAGAGACGTGTCCCTCCTACACGCGTGACCCCTGACTCCGGGCCGAATATTGAATCACTTTAATATCTCGGAACGAGATACACGATGCACGACCAGCTTATGGTCCATTCCGATCTTACAGGCGTGTGTTCAATTACGCTCGCGCCACGCGCGTACCTGCCTACGTAATCTTAACAGCGACAACGTCGAACTACCGGGCTGCTTTATTACCAAGCATCCTCGTAAAACATTCCTCGGGCGTTTGTGCTAGTAATCGGGAAGTAATTTCCCTGAGAACAGATTTATAGCGATCGGAAAAATTGATTGTAACGGATAACGTTAAAGTTAGAATAATAATTAATCTTATTGGAGCAAAAATATCACAACTTAATTGAGATCAAATTGTATTAAAAAAAATTAACTTAGACTGATATATATATATACCTGATATATCTCTAGTTTGATAGAAATCTGATGTAAACTTGTTTGGTAGAACTGATGCAATGATGTAAATCTGTAATAATAATGCAAGAACTTATATATAATTGCCAATTATTTAATCGACTTAAAATTAATAAAATATTAATTTTAAGATCGCTTTATTCGATCAACCCATTTATAACAATAATTCTGGGTTTGTCACAAATATGTGAATAAAGAGAAACGTTCATCGATTTAGTCATTATAATAGTCATTATAATAGTCATTATAATTTCTCACATTTAAATGCACACGTTTTATTTCAAATTGTACATATAATTGCTGTTCACTCTATTTTCATATATATATTTTAAAATTGTCTTTAGACAATTTATTAGCCGACTTGAATGTAATGTTTGTCAGTTTCGTAACCCGTGTAATGCTAATCAAAAATATTAAATGTTTGAATTGAATATCCTGAAAAACGAAGGATTTTCATCAATTTGTAAGAGATCTCCATCAAAAACATGTTCACACTTAAACTATACATAGTACAACATAAAATTAAGTCATGGACTTGTTCTTTCTAAAGATATACATATGAGGGATGTTTACGTCAAAATTGGAGTTTCTTTCAGTAACTGCGTACTGTTAAATTCCGGTTTTAACGTGAACATCCCTCGTATAATATTTTATTTCTCCGTTAAATAAACATACAATTGTAATAGTTTCCCGCGGATTTCTGTCGCCATATATCTTATGATACTAAATGTCTCGAATAATATTAATGTTAATCAATTTTAAAAGAAATTAATATTTTAGTTTAAATATAATTTAACATAATATAGAATATAATTAATATAGAAATTATTAATTATAATTATTAATTATAAATTATAATTATAAATAATATTTATAATATTTATAATATTATAATTATAAATAATAAATTATAAATTATAATTATTAATTATAATTATTAATTAATAATTAAATATAAAAAAAATAAAAATGAAATTTATTATATATCTGCTAAAAAATCATTCATAAATCATATCATGAGATTTCCAGCAAGAATATGTTTTATTTATCAACATATCCTAATAATAACTATAATAGTTATCAATATAAAATATTCAATCAAATAAAAATATTTGCGAGAGGTGTGTGTTATTGATATTCAAGTGACGTGTAATATACATGTCATAAATTCACACGTCATATAATTCGAATCCGTTCGCACTTCGTTGTCCAGATTCTGATCAAACTCTTATGAATTGTTTTCATTATTGTTATCGTCATTCGTCACACAACAATAACGGATATGCGCGCGGGAATTTTTAGACACTAAGCACCTCAGTGTTAATCGTGACGTGTTACATGGAGAATCATATGTTTAAGTAACTTCGCATCCCTAGCGAATACTTCATCACTTGGTTTGATTAAAGCGTCCCTTGCCTGCCCGTCGCGGTTGCGTGATCGAGGTCGCAAGTAGATTCTCCTCGAACGTGTCCACGGTGAAGTCCTGTTCCTTATGCATTTTAGGCATAATTCTGCCAGTCGGACCGTTCCGTCTCAAGCGAATATTCAGCGTGCGTTCCACAATGCCATTTCTAATCTGCTTCTTCTTCTGTATCTGGAGCTGCTTGCTTGTTCGAGACGATGGAAGCGGTGGTGGAGGCGGCGGTGGTGGCATTTTCGGAGGCGGTAAACGCGCAGTTGGTCCGGCCGACAGCCTCGGCGGACCCGTCATCCTCGGCGGCCCTGGCATACGCGGCGGGAAACCTGGATGCGGTGGGAAACCTGGCCCGGGTCCTGGCGTCGGTGGCATCGCTGGGCGCATCGGCGGCGGTCCGTACCTAAACGGCCTGAGTCCATAGCGAGGTGGACCTATAGGCGGGATAGGCGGCATACCAGGTGGAGGCATCGGCCCGAATCCCGGCGGTGGACCCCCGAATCTCTGAGACGGAAATGGTCTGCCATTCGCGAAACTCCGACGCTGCATCGCGGATCCCGGCGGTCCCATCGGACTCGGTCGGCCTAATCGATTCTTCATCGCTGACCGTGATTTCGGCATGTTCTTCTTTACTGTCGCGGCGCTAATGGGGTTTGATGTTAAAACGATCTTGCTAGTGTCAATCTTCTCGCCACGTTGAACTTCTTTCAATGCGGTGATGTATATATCTCTTTCAACAGGATAACCGCGCGCTTCGCCGAAAGCTGAACATAGACATAGGGAAATCTCGTTTGGAGAATAAACTCGTTGATCGAGTGGCAATTGTAAAATATGCCTATATGAAATATGTAAAATGGAGACTCTCGTCAAGTGCTATTTAATCTATTTTAATATTTATTGTACCTTTTATTACTGTAATATTTATAAATGAGATTTTTAATGATAAGAAAAATGATTCTGTGGAGAAATAAGTTTGTAGCATGAGCTATTTATAAAATGACAAATTAATTATTCTTTTATATAAAACCAAAGAAATCAAGACAAGAAAAATTTAACATAACATGTGCATTTTCGAAATAACATACCCTTTAAAGAATCTTGAATTTCCCAACCTAGTTGTTGAATAAGATATCTAAAATCAAATAATACCATATTCATTTTGACTAGTGGGTTATTTAAAATTTCGATAATAAATTGTATCGCTCTACTTTTCATTATTTGACTAAAACTTTTTGAATTTAAGCATTCACATTTTATTTTTGAGTTTACATTAACATTGAATGGGTATAGAGATATTTAAATGTTCAAATGCAAATGAAATAAATATGCAGTGAATATTCAAAATTCATAAAAATCTATAAACTCGTAATAGTACAAATACAGTAGCTACAAGAATAGATACAAGACTATTAATTTTGACCAAGTAAAAGTGATTTAAGATTACATAATACTAACCTACAAATTAGATAACCTGTGCGATTCACGCCGTGGGTGCAATGAACTCCTATAAGTTCACCTGTAACAAGAAATTTACACATCTCAAAATTCAAAATCTAACAGTAAGAACAATAATGTTAATTTGTAAATAATTTCATTCAATATAAATAACTATGGAGTCGACAGGATGTGAACTGATCGGATAAATAAAATCAAGAACTTTTATTTAATTGGTGTTTAATTAACGGATTGAAAGAAGCGATTGAAAAAATATATAACAGGTATGATAAGAGAATCACGCAACTGTCGCGCGTCTAAACAATAGCTTGGTTCAATCACGACTCTTTGCCCGATCGAATCTTCGATCGATGATTCGCCTGCCAAAATAATAATACACAAACATATGGAAAGTACAATATACCGACTAACGGAAAACGCGTTAATTATATTGCAATACCGTAAAAAGGAATATATGAATTTAATAAATTCCAGTATCTGGACAGACTTTGTACACGTGTACTTTCCATTTACGGAAATAAGGAAGAAGTTTTGTAAGTAACGGAGTAACGTAAAATAATTATGCGACGATAAAGTAATTATGCGACGACACGGATGAGAGTGCGTGCGACGGGACACGCGATCGGTATCTCGAGGGAACTCTCTCGGGACATCAGAGGACGGCGCCGAGGACGGCGCAGGAACTGAGAAGATATTCGCCTGCGAGAAAGACGCCCAATAAGGGGCGCACCGCTACGCGCGGCAAGACGCGCGATTCTACGGGTCATCAATTCGGCCCGGGGCGTGGGGTCGGCACCTCTTCGAGCCCAGCAAGGGGCTGATTATAATATTATCGCAAATTACCGGCAAAAGCTGCGACGAATTCACGACGATTCTCGTGGCTGCGGCTTCAGCCGGCCGGGTCGCCAGGCGGCACCTTCGCAAGGGCCGCAACCTTAATGAGAGTAGTTGACCAGCATTATAACGATCGAAGTGCGTCTACCGCCGCCTATCTCTTCCTCTCCTCGGGTTTCCCTACTACCCTTTTGCTTTACCGTGGTTGTCTTCTTGTTTTCAGCGAAGCGCGAATGAGCGGAGGATAAGTACTTGAAGGATACTTCGTACCACGGCTTTCAGTGTGAATTAAGTGACCCCATCCGTGGGTCATGCGATACGCCGTTTGACCTCTGCGAGCCGCTTAATTGAACGGAGAGTATTATCGGTATCTTGAAACGATACACAGCGCGAGTTTATTCCCATCTCCTTAGGATAGACGCGATACTGTACTACCCGCGAAGGACAATAATACAAACATATGAAGGCTCGAAATGCATGGCACCGCGATAAGATATTCCGCAAAAAAGTAAAAAAAATAAAAAATAATGACAAACAGTCTAATAAAACTGTTGTCTGGAGTTATCTTCGATCTAACGTAGCCTCCCATGAGAAAGTATTAAGATAAAAGTATGCGAGTGAGCAACGTGTTGCCAGACTCGAGTATAAAAGCTATCTCTTCGTAAGGGAGTCCTTGGATTATCATATATGGGGAAATAACGATGTGAAAGATCGTGAATAAAACAGAAATTGAAGAACTCGTAAAAATTTAAGGCCGAGAGAGAGAGAGAGAGAGAGAGAGAGAGAGAGAGAGAGAGAGAGAGAGAGAAGAGAAGTAAGTAAGTAA